TTTAAAAACACTTGGTATTGGACTTCATTGTCATTAATAACTGTTTTAGAGTCCACACTGCATCCCTGCAAAAGACTTGAAACATTCCACTTCCAGTACTGCCAGGCAACAGACTGTTCCACTAAACAGAAGTCATTTCTCCAGGTCATTTTGGTGGATAAGCTCCAAATTCCCCATAATTCAGGCCATGTCACCACTCATCTTAAACAAAAGGGCTTGAATTTGAGTTGCAAGTGATGGAATGTGGTGACTTTCACCTAAAGCAACTAATTACACTTGGACAGAATATACATAAAGTACAGGCAATATTTTTCACTATTTCTAAAATAGAGTGTCTCATACACTTTTATATGGGAAAACCACCATCATCATGTAACAAAATTACTTCAAAATGTACAGTTAGGCTAGATACAAGTATGGGGGTTTTAATATATAAGAAACAGGGAATTATTCTGAAAAGACATCGTCTCCACCACTGCCACTAAATACCCCACTGTCAGCAAAAACAATAAGTTCAGAAAAAACCCTGGGAGCTCTTCTGAAGGCTCCAGTAAAAGAAATCCTACAGACAGAACACAAAATCTTTACGGGAAAGCCACTAATACTCAGCATCTCATTACATTTTAACTGGCCTGCTTTATCTCACCCCATATTCTTCAGCATCCACAAATGTTAATATTCTGTCCTATTCCTAACAAATACACTCCAAGCAAAGTGTTTTGAGGGACAAAAAAAAAACCCCAACACCTTAGTCCACCAAAAGGAAATAGCTTTATGAACTATGTATTTTTCTTAGAATCTAGTACTAAATAAAACAAGTTCCTTCACATAATCACTTATATTGCCATTAACACATCCAGACAAATAAAACAGCCTGAAAATAAGCTTTAAAAAGGCAAAGGATACCTTATTTTACTAAGGGGATGGGAACCAGGGTGGGGACAGGAATCCTTTGAACTTGCATCTACAGCTGTAACAGCAGAAACCTTGGAAAAAAAGGGAACTGTAGAGGACCCACTGGTCCCCAAGCTCAGAGGGGCTAAATTCAGGAAGTCACCAGCTATTAACATTAAAGACTATGCTGTTCCACAGGGAATTGTGTATAAAACAAGTCATACAGCACAGAAGAAATACTGACTTTATACAGAACTAGCTTGCTTAAAGGCCACGACTGATCTCATAGCAAGGCAGGTATTTGTAGATCCTTTAATGTTCAAGTAAACAAAACTGCTTTTATATAGTCCATTGTCTGATTAGCTTTTAATTAATGGCTTAAATATCTGTTTTTAAGGCTTACATACTTAGTTTCCATCTTCTCATCCAGGTTTCTTCTGTACATTTAATTACTCCTTTGACTGACACTTTGTATATCTTCCCAGCAAAATTAGACAATCGCAGAAGCAGGTAGACTGGAAGGGACCTGATGATTTCAGATGTCCAAGCCCCTCGCGTAAGCAGAACCATGTCCAGAGAGCTTGAGTATCTTCAAAGACAGAGAGTCCACAACCACTACGCAACCCTGTCACTGCTCTGTCGCTCTCACAGTAAAAAAAAGTAATTTTTCCTCTACATCACTGATATTGAATGACTTTTCTCTCAGGCCAAGAAGTGAAAGGATGTGATAACTACTCTGCTTTGCCCTGCTTTTTGACCACACACAACATATAACCCAAAGCGTTATACTTACGAAGAGCAACATTTAAACTTTTAACTGAAAAATACACTCATACACACACACACAAAAAGACACAAATGGACTTATTCATCTTGCTTGGTTTACAGTAGAGCCTATACACCTTGGGACCAGAGATTTTGAATAACAAGGTTATAAAAAGCAGATCAAATATTTACATGAAGATTTTAATATTTTTCTTCCCAATGTGAAATTTATCTCTTTTGGAAATTAGAATCCATCTGACCCAAAAGAAGGAAAAGAAAAAAAAAAAGTCAATCTCAAAATATTTCTATAATTCTATAACTTAGCATTTTCATAATAATAGAGCTAAGAATTTGTTATTTGCAGTTAATTATTTAGTGTTCTATTGTTTTACTATTTCATTTACTACTGAAAAACTAATTTACCTAATTTACCTAAATTACCCCATTGTAGAAATAACTAGAATAACCAATATTCGTGGAACAGAAATACAACACCCATAAAGGAACAGTTATTTCAGACAAGTACTTCTTGCAATTCCCACCCCACCCCTGCAACTCAGCTGGCTTGATTGGTTGGGTTTGCCTGAAGGACAAAGGAACTTTTTTTCCCTAACAAAGTTAGAGTATCTGAATCAATGCATGTGATGAGTCATTCACACAGTCTTTTCCCTGACACTTCCTGGACATCCTCATATAGCTCATTTCTAAAACCTACTTCTACTGCTCATTTGTACAAAATAATCCACTTAAGGAGAGTCCAATTAATGTATAAAAGAGTTTACATTGGCAAACTCAAGTACTACAGAAAAAGTAGTCTGCAGATGTTGAAGTAACTGAGCTGTTCTTTTTTTCATGAAGGTTTCCTGTAATCATGATAGCAAAAAGCATTTAAAACAAAAAAACAACCAAACAAAAAACCACAGACACAAAAAAATGCAGAAAATCCAAGTAATTTAATAACCCTGATCAAGACAGCTTATTCCTTATAAGCAGCAATAAAAGTTAAGATTTTAGCATGTTTATAATTTTCTACCTCATAATCATTCTTTGCTTGAATACTTAATACAGCATTAAGGACTGCACATCATGTTCTTCACACTCCTTCCCATGCTACCATGTCCCCCTTTCCCGAAGGGTAGCAACAGGAAGATTCACAGGAGAGAAGCAGAGATAAATAAAAGAAAGAAATTTTAACTAATCTCTCACATTCTCAAAGTTTGTTCTTTCTCCTTAACCTACAGCCTGAGGGAACAGAAATAGTACCTTATATACGAAGGAATGGAAAAAAGGTTGGAGGATTCACTGCTGCTAGCATAAAATTAAAAATACTATGGAAACAGCTGTAAGGCCCGCAAGCGGAAGGGGTTGGGAGAGTGGGGTGTAAGGAAGTGGAGGGGAATTCAATGGTCACAAAACTTAAGGCAACATATGAACCCTACATGGCTAATGCTTGGCTTCTCCAGGACAATACTTGTGACTCATTCCCCTGCTTTCCTACTCAGTTACAAATCTCAATCCCTTTATTTTCCAAGGGACATCACTGCACGTTAGCAGAGGTTCAGTCAAGATAACAGAGCAAGACGATACCCAGAATCTCTTGTTCTAATATCTACTAGTGCATACTAAACACCACTAGTAAGCAGGAAAGAAAAAAAAAAAAAAAAAAAAAGAAAAAGAAGAAACCCCCTACATATAGAAAGGTTCTTCCTGCACCCCCAAATCTAGGCAGTTCCCAAAGCTGGCTTCCTATGAACAGTCCCATACCAAGCTAGGGACTTCCATCTAACAAGATTAGTCAATCAACATCTTCCCATCAAGAAAAATTTTTTCCAAGGTGAACTGCACTGCAAGATGTTATAGCAGCTGGTCAGCTCCAGCTAACTGAAACTTCTTTTTTGCATCATTACAACTAAACACAAGGTCAAGATTTTAGTCCTGATTACCCAGATTAACATTTCTGTAACACTCCTTAAGTAAGCCAGGTTTAGTGCATCCAACTCAGCTCTTCATATTTCAACATGCCATCAAGTGCCAAAGAGTACCATAGCAGATCAAATTCTCCCAATGGCAAATTTATTATCAAACTATGCTTGATCTCCTCAAAAATGTTTCAAATAAAGGGAACAATAATTTGCCCAGTTAAATATTTCTCACCTTACTATACAATTACTAAAAAAAAAAAAAGCCACAGGTTAAAAGTCAATAGGATACTAACATTTGTTTATGCAGACTGGACAGTAGGTGAACGTGAGGTATTTTTCTTATAGTTTCATACTGAAAAATTGTGTCTATAGTTGGTTATTTTTAAGACAAGAGTTTAACTACTACAGAAGGCAACTTTTACTTGTATGAAATAAAACCAAGTTCATGTAAGTAGTTAAACTAGCAGAGAGAACCCCTAAATCAAGTTTTATCTGAAACATTAGAAGTTTGCAAATTTCATGTAGATTTGCCCTTGTAGGACACTGCAGAGATCTTGCACAGAATTTGCTTCAGAACTAAGCTCTGTTATCCAGCCTAGAGCCTTTTAATTGCTCCTTTACCAACTATTAGACCAGTATAACCAAAGAGGCATTTTATAATGCATATCAAGAGTTCATCAGCAAGTACTGAGGTACAGTTACCAATTGTTTTTATTTTTTTAAAAAGAAGTCACAGGAACTCTGCTGTGCACAAACATACCTTATACCACTCAATCTTTTTGCAGAACTCAAACATTTAAGGGAACAACTTTAGGAGCTGGTGCAGAATACAACAAATAGTTTAATACAAAGACATGCCATGACACAAGATATCCCAGTCCACACACTGTCACCCATTCTACATCCCTCATGCAGAGATCAGGAATACTGCTGGTTGGAAAAAGGTTTTTGTTGCATTTTTTAAACATATCAAACCCTCTAACAGTCTCACATTCACTCCTGAAGCCTACAAGTCTTTAGTAAGGTGGAGAAGAATAGTTTAACAAATACGAACTGTTCCATTTCAGCTGACACAACTGGTAATATTAGCTCAATTTTTAGCAGAAGTGTCAGCTATTTTAAAATCTGAATGTTAGTGATAAGTATAAGTTATTTCCTCACAGTTAAGGGTTTAATACTTATTAAAGAAAATCCTGGGAAAAAAAAATATTAATTTAAAACTGTCTGGTATTCTTCCAATAGTTAAAAAAAAAACAAAACACAACAAACAAACAAACCCAAAACCAAACAAAACCGACCAACCAAAAAAAAAAAATAAAAATAAAAGAAAAAAAAAACCAACCAAAACCAAACCCAAAACAAGACAAGCAAACAAGCAAAAAACCCCAAACCAACCCAAAACTTTGACAGACCACTCACCTGCAACACTGGTAATGGTAACAGGAACTCCTTGAACTTGAACACCTGCAGCACCCAGGTTGGCAACACTTACTGTTTGAAGATTAGGTACAGAAGCAAGCTGGGCAGCACTCAGAGTGATGGGGGTACCAGCAACAGCCACTGGTGCAATTTGGGCAATGGTTGTACCACCACTTGAAGACACAGGGGTAATGGTTAGTTGTTGGGGTAACCCAGCATTTTGAACTTGAAGATTTGAAAGGCTTTGCAGATTCTGAACCTGTACAGTTTGCCAGCTGATCTGCCCTGATGGTGTTAAGGTTGGAGCCCTGATGAGCACCTGAGTTGGACTCACTGCCTGCAGCTGAACATTCTGCAAAGGCTGCTGTTGGATGGTCTGTATAGTCTGCCCTGACTGGAGCTGAAATGACTGTGGAGAAATGGCCTGAATAATCTGCTGTTGAGGCTGCTGGATCTGTATCTGCTGCAGAATAGGCTGCCCTACGATTTGGACCTGCTGAAGGGAACCTGACTGATCCTGGACGTTCTGTAGTCCATTGGACTGAAGCTGACTGGAGCTCTGGGCTTCAGAGTCTGTAGCAGTTGTCTGAGGTTCTTCAGTCGTCTGCTCTGAACTGCTGCCTGCTGTGCTTGTGTATTGGCCTGTTTCTGCAGAGCTTACTAGCGTGTCACTGCTGGTTAGAGATGTTGAGGCAGTGGTTGTAGAGGTGGAAGATGAGGAAGGAGACTCTGGCATTGTACTACCAGAGGCAGAAGTGACAGGTGTAGATGCTAGCTGATTTCCATTGGAAACTCCACCCTCAGGAGACTGGCCAACTTGACCTGAACCTGCTCCAGCTGACACATTGTTTATCACTGGCAATGCTAGTGTTACCCCACCAATGTTTATAGGTAATGTTGTTACAACTTGAGCCTGAGTACCAGGAATAGTTTGCAGTTGCAGTGGTATGGAAACACCAGGCCTAATTTGGACTGGTACTGTCTGATTTGCTAGGTTCTGAGCAATAACATTCCCCGAAGCTGTCCTATTTGCAGTTGTGAGGATAGCTTGATTATTCCCTGCAGGAATAAGCTGAATTTGACCCTGTATGTCTTGCAGGCCAGTAGCATTAGATGGATTGATTTGAAGTTGTTGACCTTCTGTTGTCTGGATCTGTGGGATCACTTGGTATTGGACACTACCACTTGGATTTTGTACTTGAATGACTTGGAATTGTCCAGGGGTTGTTGCAGAAGAATTGCTTGATTTGGTTTTTGAAGGAGATGCACTGCCATTGTTACTGCTGGAAGGACTTCCTGCACTTGAGGCAACAGAAGATCCTTGTTGAGCAACATTATTTTCTTTTGAAGCAGAAGAAGAAGCAGCAACAAGCTGCCAAGCATTTCCAGAGAGCTGAGTTGTTACCAATTCTAACTGCTGTGGCTGATTCTGAAGCTGCACCAAACCTTGGTTGGGATCTATAATAATCTGCTGCTGTCCAGATCCTTGATTCTCACCAGGAGTTCCTATTTTGCTGCAGGTGGCTGCTAGCAAAGCAAGAGGTGAAGGCTGAGAATCCTACCCGTAAAGAGACAAAACAGAAGAGATTCAGGAGAAGAGCATGAGTACAAACCATCAGAAGTAAGCATTAAAGTTTACACAGGAAGCAGAAAAAAAAAGTGCTTCTGCATAGAGACAAATGATACAGCTCTGAATAAGGAAGTACATATTTCTATAAGTAATCTTTAAACATAAAACCCCCAATTATCAATGAATAGCCAGGACCTCAACTGCATCCCTCAATCCAGTATTTTATCCACACCCACCTGAAAAATTAAAAGAAAATCTTTAAAAATGCTTCTATTACACAGAAAGAAGCAGGTCACTGCAGAGTCCTCCAATCAAAAAAACCCATGTTCAGGCAGTAAAAATATTGCCCCCAACCAGCTACGTTTCACCCAACCCAAAGAAAGATGCCCTGGGCAGGAAATGCTGTTGGCTGAACATTTCATTTTAAATGCTAATAGTTTGGGCGCTTCCCTACTCGTGTGTGTGTGCTTTACCTGTGAGCCTCCAGATTTCCCTTTTTTATTATTATTGTTGTTATTCTCTGCCTCGGGAGATTTCTCTCCCTCTGTGGGCATAGTTTCCTCCTTCTTTTGATCTGCAAAAATATCAAGTGTAACAGGTTAATTATTCACCTTCATTTATACAACAACAAAACCTACAAGCATATCGGTTTTGGTTCTCAGCTTGTCGCCTTTACCTCTTCATAAAAACAACAACGCAAATCATTATTACAAAAGAACGAGTCCTAAGAAACGTGGTTTGAAACCCAACCCATGGGGGCTGGAGAGTTAACACCCAGAAAGGGGAGGTTTGGTTTTCTCTCCCAGAGACAGCAGGAAAAAACCACCCACAACCCTCCTCCTCCTCCTGCC